CTGTCTACCACGCTCCCATTCTACTATGGCTATCGTTCTACATGGGCTATCGTTCTACACGGGCTATCATTCTACTATGCAATAGCACATGGTAACATCTGTTTCTACACAATAGTTTAAAAAGAAATACAGATTTTAAAAAATAAAACATAAATTTTAAAAGATGGATAGTTTAGTGATTAAAAGTAATCCCAGCACTCAGGAAGACAAGGCAAGAGGATCATTGTGAGTTTAAGATCAGCCTGGACTACAAAGCTCAAAGCCAGCCTGAGCTACATAGCAAGACCTTGTCTCAACAAGATAAATAAATAAAGTCCCCATTGGGGGGTGTTATGGGAATCGAACTCTGAGGCGTGGGCCTGCCAGGCGGGTGCTTGTGCTGCTGAGCTACATGCCCAGCTCTCAGGTCCTCACTTGAATATGGGGATGCTACTACCTCACTCACAGGATGGTTCTAAGTACTTCACCCACATCAGCTCATTTAATCCCTCCAATAACCCTCTGAGATAGATACAGGTAACAGTGATATCTGGGGCAGTCAGGTAACCTGCCCAAGACAGAAATTCTAGCAAGTGGCGAAGTCAGGGTGTCAGTTCAAGGATCCAGAGTCAGGGCTCCCACCCACTCTTCACTAGAGAGCCTCTGGCAGCCTCCTGAGGCAAAGGGGAATGGCGTGACTGATGAAAAGAGAATCAAGTCAGAGAAAATGAGAGCTCACAACTGACAGCATAAAAACTTGAGAAGTGTTAACTAAGTTCACAGAACATGCGGTGCCAAAGGATTTTTCACAGCAAACGTGGGACAGGGTTGAAGCTTTCTACCTGGGAGGATTTTAAATAGGACCAACAAGGTGAGCATCAGCAGACACAGGGACTGAGGGAGGAGTCTCAGCCATTGCCAGGGAAACCCATCTTGTTAGTGTCATTTGAAAGTATGGCACCAGTTACACTACAAATCAAACTGTTTTCCTGGAACTACAATGGAAATGGACCCCTCCCCAAAATTGTCCAAATGCTAGACATACGGTGCTGAATACAACACCAATGCAGCTCAGTCCAAGATGGTCCTCAAAAACTCTCCTAAAATACAGTATGTCACTCTTTGGAAAAACAGACCATTAGAGCATGGATATATCAGATGGAGCAGCTGGTACTGGGAACATGTTAGAGTAATTAAGTCTTGGAAATTCCCTCATTAAATAGCAAATCTGGAGGTCTATGCATCTTCTGAGGATCAGTTAAAGATAATTTTTAAACCACAGTATTTTCTAGAAAAGGAAAGTAAGTGTGAGGTAGGAGGCCCTAGAAAGCAGGCCCCTACTCAGGTAGCTGTGAGACAGGCTGAGAACATCTGCTCAAGGCCACCTGAAATTGGACATCTTAGAAAAAGCAGCACCAGGAGCCATTTTCCTGTGGGTAAAGTTTGTCTCTGAAATACTCCAAAGTGGCAAGCCAGAGGAAGAGGTGAAAGATAGAACTCACATGTATCCTCAAAGATGCCATTGT